CTACTACTCTCTCTCTCTCTCTACTCTCCTCTCTCTCTCTCTCTCTCTCTCTCTCTCTCTCTCTCTCTCTCTCTCTCTCTCTCTATAATAGAATAGCGAGGACGTCAAATGTAATAAGAGTAAGAACAAGTACAGCCCTTTTCATCCACCAAAATTTAACCTATGTATATAAATATACAACATATTATAACCATTTACCAAACATCCATCATACATATATTACTCATCATCAAGTTCCTATTTTCTCTCTGACAAAAAACACAGAGTAAGTAAGAATGGTACAGACGAAGAAGTTCAGAGGTGTCAGGCAACGCCATTGGGGTTCTTGGGTTGCTGAGATTCGCCACCCTCTCTTGTACCTTTCTTCTTTCTTTCCTTTTTTTCTGCGTTATACATTTATTTCTCCTCTCTGATCCTTTCAAGTACATAACCACATACGTATATATATATTTACATGATCGTTCCCCATAGTTTTCTTTCCTCTCCTTAGCTAACACATCAACCCCAATTTTGACATCTCTACAATTTTATATTTCTTAGTTGACTATATATATAAACCATGCTTAATTAGTTATTAAATTTTGACATGCATGATGATTTTGAAAAAGGAAACGGAGGATTTGGCTGGGAACGTTCGAGACTGCGGAAGAGGCAGCAAGAGCCTACGACGAGGCCGCTGTTTTAATGAGCGGCCGCAACGCCAAGACCAACTTCCCCCTCACAAACAACAACAGCAACAACACCGGAGACACAGCCGAGGGCAAAACAGATATTTCATCTTCGTCCTCTATATCTTCATCATCTTCATCGCTCTCTACCATCCTCAGCGCCAAACTGAGGAAATGCTGCAAATCCCCATCCCCTTCCCTCACCTGCCTCCGTCTCGACACGGCCAGCTCCCACATCGGAGTCTGGCAGAAACGAGCCGGTTCCAAGTCCGACTCTAGTTGGGTCATGACTGTCGAGCTCGGTTCCGCTAGCTCCTCCCGAGAGACTACTAGCAAAGCTCCTCAAGAAGATCTTGGTCCAACCACTGAGCTTGAGGTTGAGGTTGAGGTTGGTGGCGGCGGAGAAGAAGGGTTAATAGATGAGGAGGAGAAGGTTGCTTTGCAAATGATAGAGGAGCTTCTCAATACAAACTAAATATGGTTTGCTTATTACATATGCACCTGTTTTTATTTCTGGATTATAGCCACAATAATACCAAGTATACCGTATATTTTATTTATATATCGTATTCAAATGTTTTAGCTTATATTGCTTGTTTCCTCATATTTCCACATTTGTATCCAATAAAGTATTAGTATTTGTAACTACAATCCAGAAGTGACCTTTTTATTTTTGTATTTTCTATAACATTAGGCTTATAATTGCACTCGTATAATGATAACAAAATAAAATAATGTTACATGGTAGTACACGATCATAAGTCGATTACAAGGACGTGAAATTATAGCAAAGCTTCTAACGAAGGCGACTTTGTCTCCTGATTAAATGAGACTGGTCGTCAAAGAAAAAAAAAACACTAACAGTTTCTAATGTAACTACGAGATCATCGACGACACTACCGTTTAATTTGCCTAATTATTCGAACAAAAAACAATTCTCTAAAGGACGTTGAATCGTGATATTCAATTCGGGAAAGAACAAAATAATCGAGTTAACTTATACGTTTTCATCAACCAAATCATAATTCTTATGTAAATGCATTAATTCTGTATGTAGATAAACTGAGTAAGTAAGTGAAACAAGCCACATCTAAACACCGCCTTGATTTGATTGAGTTATATATGCTCACTCGTTGTTTAGAATAAACAACTAATAATAAACCAGGGAAATTAAATAGTTGGTGAAATTAGGTTTGTAATATATCATGCATCCCCACAAAACACATGCATTCAAAATTTGTTCTTTTGAGTGAGACTGGTTTTAAATTTTACTTTGCACGCATGATGAGACTAGACTACAAGTCTACTACAACATTATTGAATACAACTCACACAATACATTCCCAGGAATCCTCGCAACAGAATCTTGTAAATTGCCGTAATTAAGCTTCAATGAATATATGTGTTACTATAATAGCCAGCTTAATAATTCAATAGGAATGCAAAAAACAAATGTGTTTATGTTTGTGAGTTAGACCATTATTGAACCTTCATTAATTCTGTGGTATACTTGGAATACTATACCGAGGATTGAAAAGTTAATAATTCTGCTATATATAGAGAAGATATATCGATATATGCAAGAGTTGAAAGGAAGATAGTTAGTTAGAAAAACAAAAAAAGAAACGACTACTCTAGTCCTCTACAAAACGTACTTTGTCTAACCAAGAGGGGAAGGTGCATTAATTTTAACACCAAAAGTATTATATATTATTGATCATGCATAGACGTATCTATCATTTCTGTTTCTGTATTTTGTATATAAATCATCAATCGCTCACCACCATGTAATTATCATTCGAATATAAAAATATATATCAACGTCTAATTGTGACGTTTTGCATCAACAATATGATCAGTGAGTGAATCCTTAAACCTCCCAAATCAACCATTTGTATTTTTGTCCACCAAATTTTGTACGATTTATAAACATATGCAAAAAAAAAAAAAATTCCAAAAGTGTTGTAACACAAACGTGACACCAAAAAAAAATATAAACAGAAATAGCGAGAGGGCTTATGTATATAAAGTTTATAAACTAATACATCTCAGTTAACTTCATCATCATCACACATTAAAAATAAAATAAGGAAAAGGGTCGAAGTGTTTAATAATGAAGAATGAATAAAACAGTCAGGAAAGAGTACTACGATATATACCGAAGGTGAAGTGCAAAACGAATTAGGTTAAAGAAGAGCTCCAACTTTCACTTCCACAGTAGCTTGTTTGTACTTGTTTGTGCTCATCTTTATGACTTGTCCTCTTTTACTGTAACTTGCACTTAAACCATTCACACTAATATTATACTAGATTATACAACTTCTCCTTAGTTTTATTTATTACAGAATCTATAAAATATAAAACATTATGCAAGTTGTAAAAAAAGAGGGAGAAAATGAAATAATGAAGGTAACAAGAATGAAAAAGATGGTCTCTACTTTCTCTTGATAGATTTGGAACAATGACACATTTCCCTTATACTCTACATTGATGCTGACCTTTCCTTTTTTTCAACTATCAACATCTTCTCTTCCCCAATCTTAACCCTAACTTGTAAAGGTATCTCTATCTACATCCACTTAATGTAGTATTTTCTTTATTTTTATACCATCTTACTAAGGAAAAAAACAAGAAAAAAATATCCATTGAACAGAGTTGGGCTATTTACAAAATGGGAGGTAATGAAGGAAGAAGACCCAATAATGAAAAGGCTAGAGGACTTTGTCAGTGAGTGAAAGCCATAGTTAGAAAGAGAAGGTTCGAACTAGTATAATTACTAAAAGGTCCCTTTGTTGTTTTTAATTGAGTAAATTGCCAAAAGTTAAAAGAGAAGCGAATATGTCAGAGGTAGAGGAGGAGAAGTAGAAGAATCGATACAAGACGAGGAAAGGGCTAAACAAAGGAAATCGAAGGAAGAAGATTTGAGAGGAAGATCATGATCCTAGCAGTGTTGTTCGCCAACTCCGTTGGGAACGTTTTGATCGAAAGGTTAGTTCGCTCGCTCGCTCTTCAGATCCCAATCTTATCATCCATTTCCGCAGCTTGTACCATTTTTTCAATTTGATCGGAAATATTCTTCGGCTGATTTCTAATTTTAGGTTACGAATCGAGCATTGCTGTAGCGATTGATATTCTTAGTGGATCTGGTGTCGATCGTGGTTTTGACATAGTTCATCAATTGTCCAGATTTAGGGATATTTTAGCTTTCACTTGATGTTGCTTTGGTCGTACGCAGTGTCTCTATTGGTAGAAAATTAGATTTCAATTCCCCTATGTACACAATAGCAACATATGAATTTGTTTCTATTATCCCAAATCTGTATTCTGATAAGTATGTCGTTGTGCTCTCTCATCTGAAAAGCACACTTGTGGACTTTAGTTTTCAGCAAGTAGAGAGTTCAAATTGATATTTCATTTAGGGTGTCTAAACACTAGTACATGTAGAGTGGTTGTATTAGTAGCAAATAATCAGAAGCCTTCAAAATCTCTTCTAGGTTCAATGGAGTACCAGCTGAGGAACGGCTGCACTGGCGAACTTTCTTGGTTAAGTTGGGAGCAGATAATCTCAAAGGCGTTAAAAACGAAGAGCTTCTTGTCGCTTGCCACAAGTAGTAACATCAAACTGCCTATAGTCTCCCTGTGGCATTTTCTAGCAAATTACTTAACCAAACAAACATCATTTGGGTTTTTAAGTAATAGCGAGTTTTGCTGTGCAGGTCTGTTTATATCGTCTACACTATGCTAGGAGATGTTAGCATCTTCCTTGTTGGCAAAGACGAGTACGATGAACTTGCTTGTGAGCCTTTCTCTCTCCCCCCCCCCCCTTTGTGTAAATCAACTGATTTTTGCTTCACTCAGAGTTTGATTCTCTGCTGTTTTTAATTTATCCTATTCTCTATTTGTGTGGTGGTGCAGTGGCAGAAACCATCTATATCATAACAGCCGCTGTGAAAGACGTATGCGGAAAACCCCCAACAGAGCGAGTGTTTCTGGATAAATATGGAAGGATTTGTTTGTGTCTTGATGAAATCGTTTGGAACGGACTTCTGGAGAACACTGACAAAGACAGGATCAAGCGACTCATTAGATTGAAACCTCCTTCTGAATATTGATTTCGTCCAACCCAAACCACACATTCTTCGTTTACAATTTCTCGTCATCCGCAGTATGTTTGTTTGTTGTTGAATCACTTCTCTATATCAAAAAAATTAAACTATTGGTCTTGTCCTATCAGTCCATTATCTAGTGTTACATTGTTTGTAGTGTTGTTGAAGACCTAAAGAAATGGTTTGTGTAATTTGGGGCATGTGAACATAACAACTTAATACTCAGAGGTGTTCAGTGAAGTGACTTTATCGAGTAGTTGCTTATATCCGGCGGTTGTTGCTTCGTGCTAAAGAAGAAGAAAAATAGAACTATAGAAGGATTGCCGGATTGCGACTTTTTCTAACCAATCATAGTCATAACGAAACAAAGGTACCAACAAAAATTAAAGCCCTTACCATTAATAATGGGCCTACCCCTTTCATTCCCAATGGGCCTACCAATTGTTAGTTGAGAAACGTGTATTATGTGGTATGCAACTATGCATCCTATGTACTACTCAACTGTTTGGTCCAATTTTGTGGTTGAAACAAAAGATATTTTAAATCGAATTAGAAAATGTGAAAGAGAAAGAATTTAAAATGGATTTATTAAACCTTTTGAGTTGGATTCCAGATTAGTTTATTTATATCGAGTTATCGACACTTGGACAAGAGAAAAGGCTATATAGGTGAAAAGTAAAAGTCCAAAAGTAAAATAAAAAAAAACTGACCATCGTGGATGTTTGGTAGTAAGTGACAAATCTACTACACTCACTGAAAATATAATATTAATATTAAGCAGACTTTATAGCTATTTCAGCAGATTATATATAGTAGGGAATTAACGTAACACTCATGCTTTATGGGGCATGTACCTATAAAAATGAAATCATAAGATCATGCGAGATTAGGTGGAACGTAACACTCATGCTAATATTCAAGAAATTAATCTCCTTATATAAGCATAAATGAGTTACACGTTAAACAAAGAAGCCAAGCTACCCGACAAACTAAAATAGAAATCTATAATCAAAGAGACCTAATATTATCATTCAATCTTTGCTGAAAAACAAAAGGTTTATATATTACATCCAAAAAAGGATGTTAATTTTACATTTTTTAATTTTAATTTGTATCATATATTCTCTTCAAAGATATATAAAAATATTACAGTCTGCCAATTACTTTGGTGAAGAGTAAGTTTTTGAAAGTTACAAGTCTACAACTAATGGTGATGATATAGGACGTGGTGGTCGTGGAAATATAGATTTTAATAGTTTCATCTAATTAGATGTACATTTACAATTTCTATGTATCACATGGAAAATGCAACATGGCTAAAAAACTATATATAAAAAAAAATCATACCAAATCACCAATACAATATACCCCCTAACTTTATGGAAATTAAAAAACATATCTAAAGAATATTTCAAAAAATAGCTTAAAAAAAAAAAAAATCAGGTGGGTAAAATGGGGCTGCCGAAGAAAAAAAAAGAAAAACCAGAGTTGGTGGTAATTTGGGACAAGGCCAATTTGAACTGGACACGACAACAAGTGACCAAAAGAGAAACGTTTGATAAATCCATTAATGCTGACGTGTTCAACATAATCTTAAAAACACATTTTTAGTGTAAAAAGGAGGAGGAGGAGTTAAAAGGAAACAAACGAGGAGTTGTGAATTTGTGATTGTCCGAGTCAGCTTTGTTTTTTGGGTTCTTACGTGTTGAACTCATCCTGAACACTGCCAGGTTCACAACATTTCACATATTTGTTTGGTTTATATATTTGTATAGTTTAGTTTTGATTTAATTATTTACGTACGTTGTAGATAAGATCATTAATCAAAGGGATCTCCTTTATTCTATTGACTACATGTTCTTTTTTTCCCGTTGCTTTACCAAGTTTTGTTTTACACTACTACTGTTAATTTTGTTTACCTTATACTAAATAGACGTCACGTCACATACTCAACTTGTAAATGACTTTATATAAACCAGTTACGTAAATACATGATCTTATAGGCCGAATTTGTTTGGTACGTTCATGTCATGATCTACATATATATATAACTATTCTAATATCTGCACATATTTTTGATAGAAAAAAAATTCCTTATAAGTTTTCTTTTAATCATTTTAATTTTAATTATGATATATTTCTTTTATTTTTGAATTGAGACATTAACATTGTTAGTTTGATAGTATCTCATAATTATCTTTGACATGAACAATAAATTCGATTGCTTTATATTCATTATAGTTAGTAGTAGGTGAATATTCGGAATATATGAAACAAAATCTAATTCATGTCGTTTTAGTGTTTCATAATTCATACTCTAATGATATTTAAAATTAATTATAACGTCTTATTATAAAGTATTATAAACACACATATATATATATATATATAAATAAAATAAATAAATTGGTTTTATAAAGACATGAATAACATAATATCAATATAATTTTAACTTTCATTGATAAATAGAAATATATCATTTTCATAAAAGAAATATTTAATATATGATTTTTGTTTTTTTTTTAAACTAAAATAATAAATATAATTTATTATGTGTCACTGCTGCACATTTAATCTTATATATATCATATAGACTGAAAATAATTTCTAAAAAAATCAATAAGTTTTCTATTTAGTTAGAGGCCTTCTATAAATACACACCATCATTGGCCAAGTGTGTTGGATATCAGTCATCAGATAAGTTCCGTTCCGTGGTTATCCCATTAGCCTTTCTCCCACACAAACACAAACACACACACAAACTATATTTTAAATACATATTGCACTTCTTCAATCGTCTCTTTCAATCAATCAATCTCCTCGTTGCTTTGTATATTATTAATTAACGTCGACAATATTAACCATTGTGTTTGGATTTGTTTGATCAGAGGCGGCGTTGCGTGTGTGTTTTTTTCTTCTTCTTCTTCTCTGTCTCTCTCTCTCTCTCTCTATCTCTCTTGGGAAAATGAAGGAAAACGCAGGAAACCCATTGCACCTGACTTCACTAAACCACGTCTCGCTCTTGTGCCGATCCGTTGATGAGTCTATGAATTTTTACCACAAGGTGTTAGGTTTCATCCCGATCAGAAGACCTGAATCCTTAAATTTTGAAGGAGCTTGGTAAATAACCTCTCTTATTAGTTGTCACATCTGATATATATATATCAAAATAAAAATATCAGTTTACAAAATAAACTCTCTTATTAGTTGTGTTTCTTTTGTTTGGGTTATTTAAGGTTGTTTGGTCATGGAATTGGAATACACCTCCTGCGTTCCCCAGAACCAGAGAAACTTCCTAAGAAAACTGCCATTAATCCCAAGGATAATCACATTTCTTTCCAGGTTATTCTCAACTTTGACCCTCTTTTTTTTTTTTTTTTTTTTTTTTTTTTTTTTTTTGTAATTTTATACTCCAAAACATAAGTTATATGTGTGCATACAAAAGCTTTGTTATTTATATGTTGGTTTAAGAAATTTGTCAACATTTATGCAACACACACAATGTCAGAAATTTCTTTGTCTGTCATAAAAGAAAATCCAAACAGCTGGTTAAATATTGAGCTGTTAAGTTCCCAACTAAACCATATCAATGGTATAGTTTGATGTGATTTATGATAACTATCATTGTAAGAAAATTGAATGTATGAGACAAGAGAGACAGATAGAAAAGGACGATAGATTTAAGGTAGGGCTGGCGTAAAGTTTTGTGAGGTAGACGTATTCATTGTTCTAATTATTGTAAACAAAACCACGTGCATGATGGTTTTAAAGAACCATCTAATTAATCATTTGGTTTTTAGACTATACAAGAGGAGCTAGGTTGATCCACCCAATATATAGTATTTACTCTGTTTTGGTCTATATATTATTAGATGAATATTAGTCTGAAAATTATGTATGAGTTGTGGAATTGTGGAAATCGCAGTGCGAGAGCATGGGAGCAGTGGAGAAGAAGCTAGAGGATATGGAGATCGAGTATGTGAGGTCGCTAGTAGAAGAAGGTGGGATCCAAGTGGACCAGCTCTTCTTCCATGACCCTGATGGCTTCATGATCGAGATCTGCAACTGTGACAGCCTCCCCGTTGTGCCCCTCGTAGGAGGAATGGCTCGGTCCTGCTCAAGAGTCAAACTCCACCAGATGGTGCAGCCACAACCGCAGACTCATGTCCACCAAGTGGTCCACCCTTAGGCCTCTCTCTTTTGTTTGTGTGTGTATCATTGTGTGCTTGAATATTTGAGTGTAATCAATAAGAGACCGATGTGAATCAGCGAATGTGATTCCCCTCGAGGAAATGACCATTCTCTTTTGCTCCACATGCTATATAATATTATCAAGGGAAATAATATTTACATACATGTGTATTGGTTGATTTATTTGCAATTCGAATTAACACTTTTGTTTTGTGCAATGGAACTAAAGAGACTACCATCTCTCAAGAAATCTCAAAGTTAAACTTATATGTTAGGAATCCGAATCTCACATCTTCTTAATTTGAACGGCCAAACAAAAAAAAGGCTTGAATGTAAAGAGCCTTTCCAAGCTAGTTCGTATAGAGGTGTTCGCAAGACATGTTTGGCTCGACAAAACTCCTCTAGATAGGACCACGCGCATTCCCTTTGGTTTGGAAGTCACAAACTCGGAATTGAGAACATTCATATGTATATTTGCCAAGGCACCTTACATTCATTATATTGTTATTAAAAAAGGACCATAATGTTACCAAAAAACGAAGAATGCCACCTCTAAAAGCAAGAAGATCTAAAGTAATTTATGAAAGCCATATGCATATATAAAAGAAAGAAATAATAGAATTAATTAATACATATATGTATATTTCGATAAAGTAGTGTTAAGGGCCTCGTGAGAGCATGTTTTCGATGGATTCAAGACGCTGGAGAAGAAGCTGGTTTCTGAACTTTGAGATAAAAGCTTCGGCGCACTTGTCCACGTCCATCGATGCCTTCCTCTCAACCTTCTTATTCCTAGTGTCTGCAGTTATAACAATGTTAGTGGTTCCATTACCACTCTCTTTTGCGGAACTCATCATCATCTTCATGTTGTTGTTTTTGTTGCTCATGGTGGATGTATATGTTTGTCTATACATAGGAGTGCTTGTGTTTCCTGGTGATGAATTGTTAGATATGTTGGAGATAATCCGATCGAGACCTATGTATTTATAGGGGATTTTTTTATACACATAAAAAATATATATTTTTATTTAAAAGAATAAGATTTGAAGGAAACGAGGATAAGACTTTTTCTCTTTACGGAAACCATATTTGAATGTTGAAGGAATAATGGAATCTTGAATCTCAAGTTACATACGCGACTGAGCCAGACGCATGCATTATCTAGAAAGCACCGCCTCTACTTTAAATTTTATTCAAATGTATTCTCTGCAAAAATTACAAATCTTTAATTTTTACCTCCTCCTGCATGAAACATATATGTTGTACAAAATAAATGGGAAATTAGTTAGATTTTAAATAAAGATAAATATACATTGGCATTTAATTAATTAATTATTTTTAATTGTTGGAAATAATAATATATATTATGGAATCTAATCTTGTACGTTGTGCTTAAAAGAAATGTAAAAAAGGTTGCCTAACTTACATATTGAATTTGACTTGTTACATTTGGAGAAACTAAGGAAGAAAGATTCCAAAAATCTTATATGTAATTTGACCATTTTTCAGCAAACAAATAAATTTGACTTTGTTTATTAATAATTTCTTATAAGACACCACGCATGGATTACGGCTTAATTAAGCATTGGAGATTTAACCTCGTCAGTTAACTCACCGTCCACTCTATCCATTGTCGCCGCTCCGGTAACCCGTACTTCTTTTTTTGCCAAAAAAAACAATAAAATAAGAAAGAAGAGGTCAAGTGGTTTAAGTTAAGTTAACATATAACCTAACTCCAAACCAAACTTATGAATTTGAGGCAGATTCGTTGAATCATATAATATTATACTATATACTAGAATATTGGTTTAAACATCAAAGGCAACGTTACTATTTGATCATGAACCCTTGCTGTCTATAACCAAATACCAATCCATTACTTTTACACATTTACAAGTAAATCACTAGTTTATGATCATATATTGGTGACTCAAATTTGATTATATTATTTATAATTACGTACGTAGTTGGTCTGTGGTGGATTTCTCCGTATTACATCACTAACGCATATATAATTACGCACGGGTAAGATAGTGTTTTGGTGGTTTATGCATAAACATATAATCTATACTTTATATTACATAAAACGACATTTGAAATCATATTTTTAAGACAAAAGTATTATTTATATACAAATCTCTATATAGATAATTCCAGGGTTTTCATTATAGTACTGATAATTTGGCAGTAACATCACTAACATATATATTATAATTTCACGAGTCACTCACGAGTAAGATAGTGTTACTGTGTGTTATGGTGGTTGATGCATAGATAGATGATTTATACTTTTGTATAATAAGAAACAACGACATTTGAAATCATATTTTATGACAAAAGTATTCTTTGAATAAAAATCTCTATACAGGTAAGGTCATTCCAGTGTTTGCATTACAGTACTGATTTGGCAGAAATGGAACTTTTGAAACACAATTATGTTTCTTGTTTCTTAAAAAGGAATGCAGAATCAAAAGAAACAGATTAATACAAGGTATTCAGTTGCAAAAAAACTCTAAAGTAGATCAATACTTGTTAATACGAACCAACTTCGGATTGGACATACTTAAGCAAGAAAACATAACTAACTAGGAAGGTCTGTAGTTATGCCAAGAAACAGAGAGAGATTGGTCCATCAAAGTTGACCCTATAAGTATCTTTCGGCCTGCTCAGCTAATGGGCCTAAAGAGCGATAATAGGCCGAAAGAGCAGTGATAGGCCCAAAGAGACATATTTCAAAGAAATGACCGATGATGAGACTCCACCGAGAACAAGCGCCGGCAATGGAAACCCTTTTCAGAGTCTCACTTCGTCTACTTCCGGTTTCCGCCGCCGTGACATGTCGCAGGATCCGATTCCCCGTTACGAGACCCAATTCCTCATACTTGCTGAACCGTAAGCTGAATAATCTGCCTTCCTCTTCCTCATCATCTTTGTCGACAAAAGCCGGTTGGTTACTGGGTCTGGGGGAGAAGAAGAAGAAAGTGGAATTGCCGGAGATAGTGGGAGCTGGAGACCCGGTTCTGCACGAGAAAGCCCGAGAAGTTGACCCGGAAGAAATCGGGTCAGAGCGTATTCAGAAGATAATTGATGATATGATTAAAGTTATGAGATTGGCTCCAGGAGTTGGCCTCGCTGCTCCTCAGATTGGTGTTCCCTTAAGGGTAAAGCCTAACTGCTTTACTTAATTCACCCTTCTTGTTAAGGCAAACACGAATTGAATTGGTTGCTTCATATTTCATGGTGTGATGCAGATTATTGTGTTGGAAGATACAAAAGAGTATATAAGCTACGCACCAAAGGATGAGATTCTTGCTCAAGATAGGCGTCCCTTTGATCTCACGGTAAATAGTGGTAGTCTTTAGACTGCTCTGAGTTGTTACAATAGAGATCAAAACGAGAAAAATGTTGAAACTTTGGTGGGTTTGGTTAGGTGATGGTGAATCCGGTGCTCAAGGAGAGCAGCAACAAAAAAGCTCTCTTCTTTGAAGGATGTTTGAGTGTTGATGGATTCAGAGCTGCGGTGGAGAGATACCTTGAGGTGGTCGTGACAGGCTACGATCGTCAAGGGAAGCGGATTGAAGTGAATGCTTCAGGTTGGCAAGCTAGGATTTTGCAACATGAGTGTGATCATTTGGATGGTAATCTTTATGTTGATAAGATGGTACCACGCACTTTTAGGACTGTCGACAACTTGGACTTGCCTCTAGCTGAAGGTTGTCCTAAACTCGGCCCTCAATGACACTGTCTTCAAGAGAAGTTGTACTCTTATCTTTTGATTCTTTACTGAAACTCTCAAAGATTGAGCTTGACTCGAATAATTTTCAAAGGTGAAACTTTGTCGGAAAAGAGAGTTCTTTTTTTTTGTTCTCTTTTCTTAAAAGTTTAGTAACGGATTAAAGAAGAATTTCATTTAAGAAAATATTATAGTACAATAAAAGCCAGCCTATCTATAAATGGTAATGTGATGTCTTGCTGATCCGGACATGACACGGTGGCGAAGGCGTGAATTGCGGCGGTGAAATGGCCCTCCTCCTCGGCGGGTCCAGTAAAAATACATAATTAGAGAGGCCAAGACTAACATTAAATCAAATCAATCAACTTAATCAGAGCCGTCCGTTATCCAATCAATGGAGCAGATTGAGATATCTGTTCAAAGCGAAGAAAGCATCGAACTTTATCTTCGTTTACGATCCGCCGCCTTCTCTGTCAGATTCGAAGCCTTGTTAAGAAGAAGATTCAGTGAGCCATCGGAAGGGACTTGAAGCTGTTTGGATTCCTTCATAGATAAAGTTGTAATTTTTTTGTTTTCTCGCAGAAGAGAAGAAGGAAATAATTGTGGATCACCAAATCGGAAAGTTTTGATATATACAGAAATGGAAATTGTCGGAAAAGAAAGAAAGAGAGATAGTAATTTACAACAAACCAAAGTCTGTTTTGATCAAATCGGAAAGTTTTATAACAGAGCAGCACACACAACATACAAAAACAAAATAAAAAAAAAACAAAAGAAGAATCAAAGAGCACGAGTGTATACTAGTATGTTTTTCTTTCTCTTGAGTTGATTAAATCCTGATGCCTACCTCCATCGATCTACGTTTCGGCGGCCTTTTCCTTGGATTAACCTTCTTCCCCGGCGGATTCTTAGCAAAAGCAGAGCAACAACCGCATGAAGATATTCTCGGAGACGGCGGGTCTACAGCCGGAGACACTCTTCCGGTTGTTCTGTGATGTCGTTGAGCTCCTCCACCGTTAGATCGACTCCTCTCGATTCCTCCTCCACCGGTTTTAATAGGCTTTAGCTTGATGTCTTTCTCCTCGCCGCCGGCGATTGGTTTCGCCTGGTCCGAGGTTTCAGACACCGGTTTAGGTTGTTCGTCGCGTTGACTTTCGTCTTCTTTCTGCTCGTTGCCGCCAGATTTGTTAAGCTCGGCGATGAGACGATCGTCAAAAACTATGCCGGAAGATCCTTGACGGCGGAACGAGATGGTTGATCTTTGAAGACCCTCCATGGATCTATCTCTCTCTCTGTGTATTGAGCTCTCGGCTAGAAGAAGGGGAAAACTAGAAAAAGTGAGTTTGGAAGGCTTATAAGTGATTAATCAATCATTGTGTTTCAGACTTGGTTCCTTTTATTTCTGTCCTCATTTTCTTTTCTTTAATTTTGGGGTCGGTCCACTATATATATATTTATCAATACTCTTTATTATAATTATTTATGATGATGTTTCCAATTTGAATTTATTAGTTTCTGCATGTGTAATTAATAATGATCGGAATTAGAAAAGCGTAATTAACGATAGCCATTTTTAACCGAATGATTCAGATATGAAATTATACGTTTTTGTTATCCTTTTCATTTCTTTTCCGCATCTTTTAATCGGATTCCCAAGACCACATAACTCCTCCTCAATAGATCCAAGTTCAGACCCATCCATTACACCTCATCATATTATATATGTTATTTTATTCCAATATTTTTGTTTTCAAACTCAAAATGGGGAGAGACTTTTTTGTAATCTACTCTAGTATTTTTATCTATCAACAAATTGCGTGGATTAGATAATAGGTTAGAAACGAACAGGAGAGTTATTTGACTTATAGAGGACAACATTACGGTAACCAAATCTATTAGGTGAGTAAAAGTGAGCATCGTATCTTATTAAATGACAAATCTTTTCGTTACAGTTTCGATTAGGACAAAAACACACAATATGAGGGAGAGGTGAGAGTGGGTCAAAGTAATTCGGTTACCAATTTTGTAAACAAGTCAACATCGTTTGTATATAGTAATATTTTGGTCATTCAATAATAACATTTTCTGTGGTTCTCTCATTACCAAACTAAATAAAACATGTACATGTGGTGGGTTTATCAAATCTCATCTCTCAAAACGGGGACTAAAATAATGTTTGTTAACATACAAATTCATAACCCATTCGAGTTGTCACACAACTCAGCAATGTGCTAATGTGGAAGCAGAGGGGGTATAATAAATTGGATAGCACAAAATATGGGCCTAAACAAATGATAAAATATCACTTTCACGCCCATACCAAAACTCAAAAAGCCCAGCGTACATTTTTTTTATATTTATTATTAGAAAAAGTTAAAAAAAAAATTGGTGGTTCAACTGAGAACGAGCCAGCAGGCCATGGTGAACCAGAGTGGCGTCGAGCTGTGATCCGTCCACTGCCGAGAGCGGGAGGTAGTCGCTGCTCTGTGAAACCAGCCTCACGCATTGCCCTCCAACTGCAGGAACCGCCTGAGCCAAGCCTTCGCTCAACACACACGGATCACTCACCGCTTGGACTGGGCAGCTCGAAACAATGCCACAACAGATCCGACCCGTGGACCGAGCCAGTGTTCCACCAACTTTACTGTCCCCACTCAGGTCACAAGCCCTCGTTACTGAGCTCGACGTACGGTAACTGATTTAACTTCAAATATAAAGTAGGACATGTTTTAGTCAAGTAACCGATGTGGGACAAAGGAGAAGTTTATAAGAACAATGGTGTTTTTTGGATTTGCTTGTAGAGAAAAAAACAGCGGTTTCTTCAAAGGAAGAGTCTCTTCTCGATGATTAGCTTCCTAGATCCCTCATTCCAGGTAAAAAACATTATCTGGATTTGCCATTTCGTGAATGTAGAATGGTGTAATTTTTATTTCTGCAATGGAAAAGTTCTTAAAATGTATAGGCTGACATTTGTTTGTAGGGTATACGTATATCGCATTTTACATTTCAAAATCTAAATTTTTGATGTGTGTTCCATTTGAATATGTGCTTCATGCTCTACTCTTCTCTTCTTCACTAAAAATAATTTCCCTTTTCTTGTGTGGTTTGGTGGAACTTGTTTGTGTGGTGGTCTTGAAAGACTATGCTTGTAATTGTACGAGTGAACAAAGAAACTTCAATTGTACTATCTAAGCTGTTTCTGCATTTTGTGTCCATCAGAAGATCAACACCTGTTGCAGATCTCTTCAAAAAAACACTAGTTTCTGGCTAGTTTCTGGAGGATTATAAAATTCGACTGGACCCTTTGATGGCTGATAGACCATGTGAGATTCAGTAGCTGACAAGAAAGCAAAGGAATCCACCTAACAGAGACAACCCACATGTTGCAGGAAATATATAAAATATCACAAGAAACGGAAAAAGAACCAGACAGAGACACCTCTTCTTGAATCTAACGCCTTACTCTGTGGTTTTTCCATCTTCTTTACTGCCTGATGGTGAATCTGAATCCTATGGCAATATGATTATTTATCTGAGGCGAAGATTCCTCACTTCAACTTGATGCGACCACTACTGGTCCAGTTTTCTTAGGATTGTTTTCTTTGATAGAACTGACAAAAATATTGGGTTGATTGAGGCCGTTGTTCTTCCATTTTGATGCCCCACCTGTTCTTTTAGACTGTTTCCTTTTTGTTTCTGCCATCTGAAGACATAAGGGCAACCAGTCATCTTGCCCAATAGCTTACAAAGACTTGGTTTTCAAGAGAATCTTCTGTATAAAGGTTCTAGATTTAGCTAGATGTTAGCTTCTGTCTTATTAAGGAGAGGTACTCGTTCTTCTGTTTGCCAGATATCTTGGCTGGTTTAGGGAGCTCAGGTATACAGGTGGAGTTTGAGTCCATTCAGCTTGGAGCTGTATAAAGCGGAGTTGATGTTACCTAGAAGGGGGTTCCTTTTTTCTTTTTCCTTTATTAATTCTGCGCTGGATTTACAGCTTTGATGTCAAGTTTTGGAATTTGAGTTTGAAGTTAGATTCAGCTTGGTGAGGGAACAAGTTGGAAACTTTTGGTGGTTTTGTCAAAGGAGTCTTTGGAGTACTAACTATCAGAAAACATTTGTCAGACAGAAGCTTGGTGATGTATCTTCAATTTTTCACCAACCCATCTCATGGCTTAGCTCATGTATGCTACTCTAGTCGGATTTCGTGTACGGTAAGACTGAGTCGTATCCTTGCCATGCCACCGTCTTCAGTTCTCTTGCATATGGACGAAAGCAATAATCTTCCCAAGCCTAAGAAAGGTTTTTGTCTAAGTGAAGATTCGAGAAACAGTATAAAAAGTCTTTCCTCAGATTCTTTGTTTAGGCAGGCCAACACAGTGGGGATTATTGGAGGCGTTTCAACTGATTCCACTCTGAAATTTGTGAAGAAACTCGCAGATTGGAGCTCAAGAAATGGTATAAGCTCGTTACCTTTTGTGCTTTGCTCGGATCCTGCACTCAACAAGGAGCTTCTCTTATACGAGGAAAACTCGTATCCTTCTCTTTACCATAGAGCAGAGAGTACTGCGGTCGATCCAAAGCTGATTGTGGAAAATCTAAGGAATAAGAGGAGATATCTTGAGAGTTGTGGAGCTAAGTTAATTGTAATACCCTGTAATATTGCACATATATGGTATGAAGAGGTTTGTGAAGGGAGTTCAATTCCCCTGCTTCACATGGGTGAATGCATTGCTAAAGAGCTGCAAGAGGCGAAAATGAAACCCCTTGAAGCTGGGAATCGTCTGCGTGTAGGTGTGATGGCAAGTAGCGCCACGTTATCCGCAGGGTTCTACCAGGAGAAACTCCAAAGCAATGTCAGTATTCTATTGAGTCCACTGGAACAACATATTTATAATTTATCTAAGAATTAAGATACTTTCTTATAGGGCTAGTAGTTTCCATTGTGTGAAGTGACTCTGTGATTGTGGAAATGAACAGGGATTTGAGGTGGTGCTTCCAGACAAGGCTACAATGGAGCACACAGTGATCCCGGCCTTGGAAGCAATGAAGAGAGAAGACATGGAAGGAGCACGGAACCTTCTAAGAATAGCGTTGCAGGTACTGCTGGTGCAGGCGGTAAACTTGGTGGTGCTCGGATCAGATGAGATGCGTGACCTCTTGCCAGGGGACGATCCTCTGCTAAAGAAGTGTGTTGATCCAATGGATGCACTTGCAAGGTCTGCCATCAAATGGGCAGAGAATCGATGCTCTTAAATAGCTCACTCGCAAGGTGTGTTGATCCATTTTGTGCGTGTTGTGTGTTTTGTATATAATTGAAAGGATATATAGCTCGGATAGGGTGGCACTACCAAGTGTAAACCAGTGTTTGCAATACCAAAGTCTCAACATGTATTGGTTAATACAAGTGTGAACATGTCTAAAGCCAAAAAAAGTTTGCACATGTGTTGGCTAGGATCCATGGTGTGATATCCCTTATTATTACAAACATTTATTAATGGAATAAAAATATGGCTTTTGTGAAAGGTTAGATATCAGAAGGAGGATGACCAGGCATGCTTGGACTGGTTGTCTTGTTAGGGTTTTTGTTGTCCAAAGGGTTCTTGTTCTTATACTCATTGTTGTTGTTGTTGTCACTGTTCATTCCCAATTTGTTCTTCACTGCCTCTGATGCTTCTTGCGCCATGTTCTTCACTGCCTCCCCTTTCTGATTGATCATCAAATCAAATTTCTTAAGAAAAAAAAAATGGAACAATAATCCCGAAAATACAAACAACATGCAGAGTTGATGTGTTAGTTAACCTGCTGGAGAAAGCTTGACGCTTGAGAAGAGTTGTTGCAATCATCCTTCTTCACCTGATACCAAACATCATTTCTTCACTTTACACTTTTTTTTGGTAATAATAGCAGAATTTAAATATGATCACAAAAGGTACAAGTAGAAGAGAAATTGAACAAAAACACTGACATGAGCTTGGCCCACGATTTGGCCGGCCCTCACACTGAATTCTTCATTCTGTCCGCTCGCCATGTCTTACTCGTTTCTAACTTCTCTCAACCAATATATGCCTTTATAATCATATCTATGTGAATGCGTCGCATTTTTCTTCTCTATTCAATGGTGTTCCATTTTTCAAGGAGAGCTTTTTATGCTGTATGATCCATCATTTTCTCAGCCTTCTTGACTTTTTCATCTTCTTACCATTTTTACTTCTACGTTCGTTAAGTTATTCTTGTCAGCTTTTTCGTTTTCAGAAAATAATAATAAACTCTTTCACATTAAGTCTCGTCCATATCGATATAATCATTACGTATTACAGAGTTGGTGCCGAGACTTCTTGAACAGAGATTGTACCATTTAGCCGTACTCTTTCGCATCTAACAATCACTCAATCAGCCTCATCACACAAATCAAAACTTTTGCCGTTTTTAGGAGCTTTCTCAATCGCTCATGTCGTCAAATCCTTCAAAATCATTCACACCATCAGCTGCTTCATCAGCTGAGTCGTCTGCCTCTTCATCTGTCTCCATTGCTTCTTCTATTCCTTCTCCTTCTTCTTCATCACTGTCCTTGTCCTCATAGATAACAGGACCTTCATCTTCTTCTTCTTCATCCAAGTCGTCCACAATCTACGATTAACACAATCAATGACAAATCAATAACATACAATACGATCCACAAGTCTGTGTTATCCATGTAAAGCAAGATCTCAGGACTTCCATTGCGTGTTTTTATCCCCCTAAGTGATTTATGGGATCTACTGCTACCCCTAGGCTAAAGATTGAAATCAAATTCTTCCACATTTCATGGTAAGACAATACATACCAAGTCCAAGCCACTTGAAACCTCTACGGCAGTATGAATAGTTGAAACTCGTGACTCGATGAGCTGCATACACGACCAAAATATACATATCAATGAAGCATCCATAGTGACTTTCTGATCTGTATCTCTGACAGATCCGGCACAGCAAGCACAGCCATACAATAAGAAAAGCAGTTCCTAACCTGATACATAGTGTTTAATGCGAGCAACGATGACTCTTGGGACATAATTCCACTAGAATGAGTAAGTAACAGACTCTTTATCCACGGAAGAGTACAAGCCAAAATTGCACCCCTGTAACAAAGTAAATAAATCACAACTTGAATACCAGCTTCAGCAAACAGACAAACCATACACCCAGGAAAAATATGTACATCATCAACTCTTACCTTGATTGTAGTATTGGTAGAAGGGAATTTAGAAGCTTGAGTACCTCAGCTGAATTCAACTTAGCAACAGAATTAGCAATAACCTGTAATGCATAGAGAGCTTGAAAAATTAGTAAAATGAAGAAAGTAAACATAAAAAGATCAAAAGGTAAAGAAATAGCAAGTGAACCTGCTCATCTCGGTTGTACAAGCAGTCTAGTAGAAGAGATCGATCATCAGCATGCAATGCTTGTCTGAGAAGAACGTTAACAGAGGCAGCAGTAGGAGGCTTATCATCACTGGGAGCAGAAGTCTCACTGATAAGCTTGTCGCCGCTTAATAAGTCAAGACTCTCAAGTTTATCACCTATGGTTGGCTCATTATGTGTATCATCTACTAACACTCCATCTCTATCTTCATCAAGACCTATATATCAATCAAATAGGAACCACTTATAATATAACATTGGCCAACTAATTCATGAAAAACCTCTATAACTGGACTCTTATCCTCAACACATTTAACCTTAAAGGGAAGTTGTAAATTTACCAGAATCGCGCGTAGAGGGTAATTCAGGTTCAGGTTCAGCTCGCTTCCTGTTCTTCTTCTTATGCTTCTTCTCGCGGGAAGAAGTATCAGCGATTTCACCTGTTTCACCATGTTAATGAGCTATAGGCACAAAAATTGAGAAATTGGCAAACAAAAAGGGGATAGAGTGAACTAAGAACCTCCACCATCGGAGGAGAGAAGATGCTTGAGTTTGTCCTTGGCCATCGTCGGCGATCGGTGGGAGAAGGAGAGAGAGAGAGAAAGAGAGGCCGACGTGGGTTTAGTTAGGGTTCTTCTTCTTCTTTCTAGCCGCAACAACTTCACACAGTTCACACAACTAAAAAGCTACGGGTCGGGTCAAATTGGGTGAACTGAAACGCTTTTGAACTGTTGGGCCGACTTAACCCAATAGTTGTTGGGCTGAGTTTTTCGCAGTCATCTGTTCCAATATATACACATTTTTCTTTCACATTTTTATCAAAAATAAATAAATAAGACTTATCCTCCTCCTCAAGAAAAAAACTATGAGGAAAAAGTATTTGTATGGGATAAAAAATAGTTTGGAAGCTCTGTCGTTTGATACTGACACGGTTGCCCTTGCATATTAGTGGCAACTGGCAACATCTAGGATTTGGATTGTGTGGTATCTTTATTTTCTTTACTAGAAATGTATTTTGCACCTATGTGTATATGTTTTTATCTACTACACACCTTTCAAATGTACTAGATTGATTAGTAGCATGTCTATACATATATGATACATGCGAAAAAGACAATATGTATATACATATCTTCTTTTTCCCCCCCAAAAAAAAAAGTTTATACATATATATACAGATATGACAGCTAAATAGATTATATATTTTCTTCCTTTCACCCCACATTATTAAGAAAGATAAATTTTATGTTCTTTAGATACATACAGAGAATAGAGAAGCATATTTTGGGACATAAGCAATAACATAACTAGTTTTTAAGAAGTTTCAAATGATAAAATAAATTTTTTTGGTCAATATATAATTAATATAAATGACAAATACTTTTAAAAGCCAAAAGTTAACGTTAAGACTATATGATCTTATCATCTGTATTTAAATTTATATATTGACATATAAAGGTACTTGTAAATAATCCTTGTTAAAGATAAATATATGCATATTTAATTTTTTTATATGAGAAGATACCACATAACTTTTATGAATCTTTTTAATATATAAAAGTATATGTTAGTATTTAGTTAAGAGGTAAACAGAAACAAAATATGAGTAATGTATTTCTAAATAATATGTTAAGGATTTGTTCAAAAAAAAATGTTATGGATTATTTCTTTTTTTTCGTGTGACATGTATGTATGTTGTGGGAAAAAAATCAAAAAAAAACTTTTGAAAGCCGTTTAAAAGGAAAAAAAAGAAAAAAAAAAAAAAGGGGAAAGGCAAAGAAAGTCAAAAAGACAAATGTGGTTAAATAGGGCAAAAGGAGGACGAAAGCAGAGAGGAGAGAGAGAGAGAGGGAGAGGGGGGTGGACTTACACAATTACAAAGAAGGAAGGGTACTTTTGTCATGTCTGAAAAGACACATCCCACATCCCTCTCTCTCTCTCTCTCTGTCTCGACGCCTATAAAAACAAAAGACCACCCGGACAATCTCACATTCACGCACGCGCATCCAACTCTTTTCTTTTCTTTTTTTTCATCTTCACCGTTTCATACGAAACTCTTTACGAGGAGCGAACCTCTCTTTCTCTCTCTCTCTTTCTCTCAAAGAAGCCTCTTTTTTTAATCTTTCTCCGGCCAAAGGTATAACAATAGCTTCCGTTTCTTTTTCCCTTCTTTGTTTCTCTTATTGACGATTGATTGCTTGATTGATAGATTCCCTCCGGTCTGGTCTCTCGATCCTGTTTATGTTCTGTCGTTTTCCGTTTTTCTTTTGATGTGATCAGAATTTTCCTGGTCGTCAATTTTCGCGTTTGAATTTTCTGGGTGAATTTTTCTTTTATAGAATTGCAAATCGAATTGATCTGTTTTGATATTCTCTTTTGTTTGAAATCTGATGATGTTTATTCATTTGATGAGAAAAAGGATTTGAGGAGTCTAGAACTGTTTGCGATAAGTGAATAGTTTCATCCCATTTGACCAATCAATAATTGAATCGTCCTATTCGTTTTTGAGTCTATTTCATCATGCTCTACATTCTGTTGTTGAGAATGTAATCATCAGTGGCATTGAGTTCATGTTCGAATACCACCGTATAACTTATTTGAGCTCTTCCTTTTCTTGTCTCCTTGATTTCTTTTGTTGAATTTGCTTTTGGCTGTTTTATATACTCCAATGTAATGGATTGTTGAGTCCTAGGCTTTGCTTCTACAGAACTGTGTATGTGTGATCTTTGCGCTTTCTATTCAATCGTAGAAGAAACTGAAAATCCATGTTTTATGGCTTCTCTACTGACACATCTTGATTGCAGTAGGCTGTTAACACTCTTTCTATTGCTTTTGCTTTCAGTGTGTGAGATGCACAAGGAAAGACGTAAAATGCCTGTTTCAAGCAACACGCATAGGGTTTCACCTTACCCGCTTCGCTCTTGTAGAAACAAGAAACAGAAAGAAGTCGAGTCACCTGTTGAGTTAGAGAGTGTGAGTGAATGGGAGGATGTGAGGTGTGTCATCTGTATGGAGCCGCCTCACAATGCTGTCCTCTTGCAGTGCTCCTCCTTCTCCAAAGGGTGTCGTGCTTACATGTGTGACACTAGCGCCCGTCATTCCAACTGTTTCAAGCAGTACCGCAGAAACAACACCACAAGCCGTTGCAGTGGCAAGACTCTAAACTGTCCATACTGCAGAGGAGAGGTTCAGGGGACAGTGAAGTCTACGTGTGCTCGGAGATTCATGAATGCTAGACCGAGGTGTTGTACTGTCGACAAGTGTGCTTTCTCTGGAACCTATGCACAGCTGAAAAATCACTTGAAAACTGAGCATCCGGGTTTTACACCACCTAAGTTGGACCCTTGGGAGCAGCACATGTGGGAGCAATTGGAGAGAGAGGCGGAATACATTGAATTGGTCAATGCTCGTCAGAGATGGGATGCAGAACAGAGATTGTTGGCCAGCTCTCTCCATCAGCTTCCATATCGCCATCCAATGATTGATCTCAACTTTGATGCCTTCATGCATAATCTGCTCCTTGGTGCAACCATTGAGAGCCGTGGGAGGAGCCAAGCAAGTCCTGACAATCACCCAGCTCACATACCCCGACTGGAGTTTCATGCGCCCATGTATCCTAGATGGACACCGTGAAGATTCAAGTGCTGAGCGTATGCTGAATTCGTCAAAAGTTTTGATGTCTCTCGATTTTTTTCCATAATGTAATCTTTAATAGCGACATCATTTCTTGTTCTAGGCATAAATTTATATTGTTTGTAGTTTTAGATTCTTCTGTTAATGAAGTATCCATAGCTTGGGCTCATCTTTTGCCTCTTCAAAATTTTCTGTTAATCAAATTATTCATATTCTTCAAATTTGTTATGATTGGAACTTGCATTCTTCAAAAGTTTCTGTTAAATCAAATTACTCATATTCTTCAAATTTGTTATTATTGAAACTCGCATTCTTCACAAACTATGCAGGAATTTGTCTAACATTTTAGCTCCATTTCGCTTTTTCACATTTGAAACACATCAAAACTTTAAAATTGTTACCCCGAAAAGGAAGATGAAAATTTCAGATGTTACATAGAGCAGAAAACATAATCAATGAGTGTTTGGAACAGAACACAAATAACGAAGCGTGTACTCATTGGATGAACACATATCTGCAAGATCTTGGTGGGCTCTGGTGACTGCCTTTTGCAACGATCTTAGTGCAGGTAATAAACTTCTGTAGTTTCGCTGAATGGAACTTCCGTGTGCCTTACAAATTTCCTGCACATAAATAGACAACATAAACTTTGATCAGGTTCAGAGCACTTGAGCAAAGATTAACTAAAAAAACAGAAGGAAAAGAGCATGTTACCTGACACCAGTGAAGAATGAACTCCAGATGAGGACAGTTCTCAAGTAGACCCACTAAAGCTTCCATAAGCCTTTCTAAGTATTTCTGGCGAACAGAGATTGCAACAGCTTTTATGTCTGCAGGGGATACAGCAAAGATGCATTTTTTGATGAGGCTGTCTTCGTTCAAACGCATACTCAGAGCAAGTGCTATGCTCACTTCACCCTCCTTTATGGCAGCCTCAATAGCCTACACAAACAGTGAAACAACACATTAGCTTTGCTTTTCAAACCAATAATCAGAACAGCAGCGACCACCAGTGATATTTACAAAGGCTCACCTCTGGAGTAACGTCTATGTCAAGATCGGTTGGATCAAAGATGAAGGATTCATCGATGGAATAGATAAGAACCCCTTCTGTTGTTGCAGCTGCAAAGCTTCTCCCAGTTGGGGCAATACTGAGGCTTTTTGTCCGGATGATAGGCCTGCCACGGTTAGGCCTCGATCCAGGCAGATCGTAACCCAAATTCCCCCGAGACTGTTTATCAATGCCATCTTCTTCATCGCTGTTGTCATCATCAATCAGATCCATCGGTCCTGCGTCTGTCATCTTCTTGGAGTTCAAAAAGTCAAGAACACCATCTAACGACAGATTATGGGATATCTGAAACCTTTTCAGAAGAACCTGAAAGGGAATATTCCAGACACTCTGACTAAGTAAATTTACAGTAAAAACACGAGCTATTCAAAATCAGTATCAAACTTTTTAGGATACGAAAAGCTGAACTCCAAGAAGAGCTAACCTGATCTGAAATGTCATACATGCAAATATATCTGCTAGTTCCTGCAGCTAGAATATAGCCTCCATCAGCAGAATAGCACAATGTTGTAAAGCACTTTCCAGAACTTGAATTAGCTGCCGATCGACGGTCAGTCATGACCCGACCTCCAGCAATATCTCTCCGCCCCTCTATAGTGTACATCAACACACCTTCAATGGTGTCCCAGAAATGAATCTGCCCATCTAGCGTACTGGAGGCTAATTGCTTCCCATCAGGACGGAAGGCAACAGTTAGAACATCGTGGTTGTGTTGAAATGTCTCCACAGTGCCTTTGCTAGCAAACACATCCCATAACCGAACCGTATTGTCCCAGGAGGATGAAGCTAAAATTTGCTGCATGAAAAGAAATATTTGAACTAGATAAGGCATGGAAGTTATAACACCATAAGCCAGAAGTATAGATAAATCCAATACGTTTTATCTCAGTAGCTGGTATTCACAAGATTGTTTCGAAACATGAGACTATTGCAGTATGTTTACCGTTAAGGGTGAAAACATCAAACCATGAACAGGAGCCTCATGCCCACTCAGGATATCTTTTATTTGCCCAGTCTTCTTGGACCATACAAAAATCTGCACATAGGCAAGTATAAATGATTCACCTCACCAAAACAAAAACTGTAATCCAGTATTTCTGAGTATGTGACTGGATCCAGCAGGCCAAACCGCCTAAGTTGAAATACCTCAAATGAATCTAGAGTCCCAGCACAGACGACATCACCACTAGGGTCTGCTGTTAAGGAAACAAACTGCCGCGGTGTAGGGGTTGTGTATGTCTTGTAATTTTTGTATCTTTTAAAATCCCAAGCACGAACAGTGCCGTCCAGAGATGCACTTAAGAGGGAGTGGTTGTCAGCCATAAAATGAAGAGCAGTCACTGCGTTAGTATGCTCGGTGAAAGTGATGAAACATGATCCTGACATAACGTTCCACACCTGAAATATGCGACATTGCAAAACATGGGCTGGTTAAATTCAGAAACAGATGAAAATGGTATAAAATCAAAACCGTTAGGTCTTCGAGGTTTTAATACCTTGACTTTGTTATCATCAGCACCAGTTGCCAGGAATTGTGAATCGGGCGAGTAAGTTACACAGTTGACATCAAAATAGTGTCCTTGTTGCTTCAGTATATAGCTTTCAGATCGCCACTCCCAAACTAACAGTTGCCCGAGTTTGGCGCAACCAAAGGTGAGCCAATTACCACGCTCATTAAAGACAGCTGTTGTTAGCTTCTCCCTCGAAATAGACAGCAGGTGGATACAGATGAAATCTGGCATCTGATAAAGCCCAAAAACACCATTTGAGAACCCCACCACAACCATATCGAGCCCCTGATGATAGTCACAAGCTGTCACCTTTGCTGATCCCTGATTAAACCCATCCTTCCTCAACAAAGCCCATTTCCCTCTGTGCATATACTCTTCATCATCTGCTCCTTCTTCATCTGAATCACGATCTTTACCGTCATACTCTTTTCGTTTTTTAAGATCAGTACCACCAATGCCAGCGCCATTTTCCACCATCACCTCATCAGCCCTCTCTGGAGTATCAGGTGACGGTGGCTCAGAGTGGCCACCTTCTGATTCATTCATTTTGACATCCTTTCCAGTATAGCCCCAACTAAAAATGTAACCGTCCCGTGCAATGGTGAAAGCCCTGTTGACCTTGTTAGTCATTCTATCAACACCAAAGAAGCAACCCACAACAGAATCTCTATGACCCAGAAACAAAAAGGGCTTATTCAAGACACCCTTCAACTTTCTAACACAAAACAACCTAGCTGCTAAATCCTTTGAGCCAACGAGCAAATAATCAGAATCCAAGCTCCACTCCAAGGAAACAACTTTATCATCAGAATTAGCAAAAGTCCTAACCAGCTCAAAGGCGAACACAGCTCGCCTGAAACCAGGCGAGCGCCATATCTGAACCAACTTACCTACTCCAACAGCGAAAAACTTACCATCAGGGCTAAACTTCAGGGCACCGACTTTTCCCGTAAAAGTTATTCTATGAAGAATCATCCGTCGAGGCAAGTTGATGAAAAGACATCGATCCTTTTCATCGACGGCGAGTAGGAAAGTGCCGTCAGGTGAGGCAGCGATGCGACATATGTTGGTAGAGGTACAGACCGGAATAGTAACAGTATGGTGCTTGTTAAGGTCGGTGACGGAGACTCGATTACCGACCGGCGAAATTAGCTGAGTATTCTGAGTGACGACGGCGTTCCCACCTCTGTAAGGGGCACCAAGAAGGTTCTGTAAGTGGTAGTTCATGGCGTTGGGATCCTCACCTTAAGTCTGGAGAAAAATGAGAAGGCGGAGGAGTATAGATTAGCCGGAGGCGAAGGTTACGGCGTTAGGGTTTAACAAGGGCTTCTACAAAATCTCTCTTTTCAATTGATTTTTGATTTAAATCCCTAGTTTTAATTACCAAAATACCATCCTCGTTTGGCGGTGCTTTATATAGCCTACTATACATGGGAAAGGCGTAAAACAATGGGCATAATTGGAATTTTGAAATCTTTAGGTGCAAAAATTGAAGGATCATAGTTCGGAAGATTTGAACCCGACGTGAATCGAACACGCAACCTTCTGATCTGGAGTCAGACGCGCTACCATTGCGCCACGGATCCTTTGTACTTAATGTTTCATCATTTACATAACTATAGTGTTCAAATAACTCAAATATAGTATGCTCAAAATTTGTTAGAAACCCAACATTCTTTCTATACAACACAAGTTGTGCTTTTCTTTTCTTCCACACAAAACTTAAAGAAGTTGATACCATAAGTCTACTGATTGATTCATAAAGAGAATAATAAGAGGATCACAATGAAGCAGCTCGAATAGACTTTGTTCTACATTTTCTTGGAAGTTCACATTCACATATACGCAAGGACCATAACATTCTCTCTGTATTAATAATGCTTTTTTTATTTTCATTGCTAAGAAGACTATTTTGACAAACACACATCATCTCTGTTTAAAAGAACAAAAAAAAAAACACACACATGTGTAATCCGTGTTCTACATCTATATAGTTTTGCGTATGATGATGATTCATGATCATGGTCATCCCTTGGAAGAATAATCTTTGGTTCTTTTTGTTAAAAAATCACTCACTCACTTGAAGTATTCATGTCCTCGTCCCCTGCTTTTGCTATATCTCCTTAGGGGTAAATGTGCAGGTTTTTAACACCACTCATGAGTATGTGAGTTATCTTTTACAAAGTTAAGATTCATTTCAAGAATCTATAACAAAACCTGGTTGCCGTTGTCTTCATTAAGACTGACAGTGCGGACTTTGAGCTCGCCTCTGCTCGTCGTTAACTCATCTAAAATCTCGGCATCGCCCTCTTGTACGCCACTCTTAGAGTCATTCGACTGTAAAACAAGGTTAACTCGGCATTAATCCAAAACATTCAAAGACATTGTGGATGTCTTAAACGACAAGAATACAGTTTCAGGTCAAAATCCCTCAATAATGTAGATATTTATATATGGATATGGACAGACACAGACACTCACCCGGAAAGACAGTTCGAGAGGGTTTCTAGGAGTACCGGGGATTTCCTCGTACTCAGCAGCATCGAGTTCTCGGAGATGGGCCGGGTTAAAGAGCTTCGGGAGAATGTACTGTCTGATAGCTATTAAGAGGAAGAAAGGAACCGGGAACATGATTCCAGCCACGGGAATCCACGTCACTCCGTAGCAAATCCCAAAGTAGAATATCTGCAACAATGTGAAGGCAGCCATTGACTTGTATGGAACTTTCTCCACAAACGACGCGTGGTCTCCTTCCAAGACCCTGACAACAACAGTTATGGCTCTTTGTAAGAACTCTGAATACTATACAATTAAAAAAAAACAGAGCATTTTCAGAAACACATACTTGAATCTCCGGCTTGTTGGGACAAAAAGTAGCATTGTACGTTCAAAAAATTGATTCCCCGGGAGGCTATCATTGGCCATGTAAGCGAAATATCCCCATAGAAGTGAAGTGGGTATGCGCTTAATGGCTGGCATTGCCAAAACTGCACCTGCCACAAGTAGCGACTGCAACAGGTTGCTCACTCTCTGCTCGTTGACTCGAACAGGCAAGTAAGCATCAAGGTGCTTCTCTGGATCGAAACCACTATCCTCGTTCCTCTCTCCTTTTTCCTCGTTGCACTTCATTACTGCTTCTTTCAAATCTTGCAGCTCAATAATCACTGTTGGGTTTGTCTGAGTCTGTATTTAAAAGCAAAAGCTTATGATTCTGAATCTTGATATTTCTTTGTATTGGAACATATTAGATTAAGAGTCTACAACTTACAAGTGGGCTTTTGTCCATTTCTATGAAGACTTCTTGCATACTCTCGTACACTTGGGATGAAGTTTCTCTCTTCTTGATGCTTTCTTTGGCTGTCTTTACCATCTTCCTCCGGATCAACTGATATCAAACAGATTCATTAAGACCAGCTTAATATTGAGTGTTGATTAACTATGTGTATTGACTAAATACCTGTCGTTTGAGAACTGCAAGGCTTTTCGTATGCATGGGAGATTGAGGGAGCACTCCATTGGAAGGAGGCAGACCGAGCAATCCACAGATCAACGTCTGGACAACACAGATTCAAGATTTTAACCAGATATTAAATGTAGTAAAGGTGAGTTTGAGAAAAGGAGTTTGAATGATTATACCATGAAACCCAACAAGAGAATGTCGTAATGGTACGCAGAAGGGTTCTTGAGGTTGAACTCCTTCTGCTGTGCGAGCTGCGAGGCAACACTGTGGTCAAAGAAGTAGAGCCCTGCGATCATCAATGCCGGTATAAATGCCGCGAATATGTAACCCGGAGAGACTTTCCCCATGTCCTGCACATACCAGAACCAGGTATTATAACTTTAAAAGAGGCTCATATGATGGAATCTAAGATCTTAAAATGTAGTGAGTTTGTGTTGTAACCTTGATGACAGTCCAATGTGATAAAGAAGCAGAGTCCCATGGAAGAGGACTAAAGAGTCTTCTCGGGACACCAGAAGGGAGCTTTGATGGCGTACTGAAAGACAATGCTGTCCAAACCACAACCATCAAAGGAACTCCATAGTCAGCGATGAAGCTTCTCCACCATCCTTTAAGAAGAAACCAGAACATTAACGCCAACTAATTATGTTACACAGTAATAAACACCAGAGCATGGCAAGATAAATCTCTCTTACCAGTTCCGTATCGCCAAGATCTTGCTTTCCTGCTCTTCAAAGCGGTGTAGAGAAGACCAAAAGTGAAAATGATACCGAGAAGTCCGTTTGCATAGAGCCACTCAAAATGATACTTTTCAAGTTTTGAGTCTTCATCTTTTGGCATCCCAAATTCACTCACCATTCCCTGCCAATTTCATTTGAAACAAGTATATAAATATCTTTGACTTGTCATCATCACAATTCAGAGCTGTTTGAGCTGTTTTTGGACTTTATACCTTAATGGCTTGTTGGATGAAGAGAACGGATATCAACATACCAAACAGCTCACCAGCTATCCTCGTAAACCGGTTAATGATATCAGCCGCATTGAGCATCGCCATTAGGAACAGTAACAGAGCCGTCCACACACAAACCCTTCAATGTAACACCCAACACAACACTCTATATAAAAAAAAAGACATAACTTTACATTAAAAAAAGTATAAGAGAAGAGTATTTTGGAGTAGATTACCAAGCAGCCCAAGCTAAGTAGAGTTGTTTTCCCAATTCTGGTCTTCCTATAGCGAAGTTGTACAAGTAAACGTACATTAAGACAGTTGGTTCTGCAACTCCAAGTATCAACAATGGTTGTCCTCCCAATATTGAGTGTATCACTCCACATAACGCTGTTGATGCTAATGTTTCTACTGTGCTCAACGCTCCTTCTATAAGATGCAAAAAGTTAAAACCCCTCCCCATAAAAGACCAACCGTGTGCAACTTGAAGACTTTCGTTCCACCAAATAAACGTGAACACAAAAACTGGAAGATGAAAACTTTGAGAGAGATAAAAGAAAATAGACCTGTGTCACGGCTGAGCTGCTCGCCGAAGGCTATAACCGGAAGCGCAGAGGCGAAGAAAATATAAGTGGTCGGTGCTAAAATCCTGCAAAATCACCCAAAAAGTCACAGGTTTGTACCTTTTTGGTGCCAAAAGCAATATAAATAAGAGAGGAAACAAGATTTGAAGTACCCGAAACCAGAACGGAGACCAGCGACCCAGTCTTGCTTGTAACACAAGGCTCTTCCTCTAAGATCTGCTACGATACCTCGGAAGAGCCTCTTGGTATCCACTCTTCCTTCATCCATAATTTTTGAATCCACTCTGAAAGACTCGGGAGCTCGTCGTCGCTCTGTTCAGGCTTTTAGCCTTTTGGGAGTTGGGACACTCTTTTTATGACCTAAAATATCACCACAAGAAAAATAAGGAGGACGAACAGTCTATATATAAGCAATGGCATTTAAATCACGCATTATAGACATTAAATAAAAGAAAAAAAATCAATATTCATGATATTGTAGTAATTATTAATATATATATTTTTCTAAAATTGTGAAGATTCCAGTCTTTTTCCATAAACTATTAAAGAAGAAACCTCATAGTTGTTTAAACTTTTGAAGCGATGTCAATTTTACAAGCATTTTATAAGAAAAGGAAAACGCAGCGTGCCAAACTAAATTAGAGAAACATCACAAACGCATAAAACAAGCCAAAGTGATGAAAATTTTCTTTCTATGACAAATTAAGATGTAAAAAGTCTCCTCGTCTCTTCTCTCATAAAAGTGAGGTTTGAAATTGCAAATGCACCCAAAACAAAACAAAAAAGAATCAAACTTTTTCAATCTACTCCATTAAGTTAAAATTACCGGTCGTAAAATTGAATCTACCACTTTTTCATCTTCAAAACAATGATTATACATCGACATTAGAAGTTGCAAATTCCTTCACATCTCACATAAAAATAAAATAAAAACAAGACAAAGGGGTTATCAACATGCAATAACACAGAATCTGGTGGAGTCGAGGGGAGGAGCAAAAATACCGGCGGCCAAAGAGAAAACGAGAATACATATATAATTAATATTACACCACCGGAGTCGAACTGTCGAAGTATTTTAACTGTGTGAAGCGATTTATAAGGGTTTAGGTAACGAATGAGAGAGAGAGAGAGATAAGTCAAAGAGTACGACGAGGCAACAACGGTAGAGAGAGTCAGGGCCCATTTATACACGTTTTTTTGTTGGGCCTATATCCACGTGTAAGTAAACGAGTGGGTGGATTCTGACATCTGTATGATCTTGACACCTTAACACTCCTCTCTGTTCTTCTCTGTTCAAATGCTACATACAACATGTATAGTATGTGATAAGTTTGTAGGAGAATGTAATTATTTCTGTGTACTTGGAGCGGGTATAGCTAGAGATGTTTATCATGTGTAGAAATGAGCATGCACGCACGTTTTATTATGGTTACTTATGCCAAAATTCACTGCTGACGTGATCAAATAATGATCTCTCTCTATCATTATGTTATGTATATATATGCATCACTCACTCCACGCATGTGGCACTTGCATGCCCGTGGGATTTGCCCTTATTGTGCCAGAATCTTCGATCGTGTCATATTGCGTGTGTATATACAACTCATCATGTTTTGAATTACCACTATATATATGTTTTATCAAAATTCTAAGATCCTAATAATTATAAAATTTACCATTCTATAAACTAAATGTGGTACACAATAGAGAAACGATATATACTAGTGTCGGGTGTTATCAGGAACGACATATAAGATTAATTGAATAATGAGATAATTAAGTGGTATGATTTATTTACATGCACATGGGTGGTACGTAGATCTAAATCATACTACAAATGTGAAAAGAAAAAAAATACAAATTAAATCTAGCTTTGATAAGGACTCGAGATTCTAAACGCCGTACCATTGAGTTTCGACTATTATTTTATACTAATGGTGTAAAGTTGAGTCAAACACAGATACATCATAATCATATTTTAAACGTTATCCGAATATATGAATATTACTTTCTTTCATCAGCGACTGTATATTTTTCGAAAAGATACAACTCGTGTACTTTGTCAATCTTAAAATAGTTTAAAAAAGAGTCGACAAAAAAAAAAAAGTTTAAAAAAGAAATATCAGTTTCACCAAATTATGTAAAAAAATTAATAAAATTATGGTTAGGTTGATGGAGTTCTCAAATAAAAAACTCTTCAAGCCTCACACGTTCACGTAAACGAAGAGTGACTGGCCAACATTATGATATTTACTACGGGGGGTGGGGGATTTGAACAACTATAGTTAAATCCCTCCTGGTTAAGTAATAAGTTTAAAGTTATGGGGGCATATCATAAATAATACTAAATATAAGACCTTTACGCAAAAATCGAAAGGTTTCTTTGTTTCTGATTTCAGAGCGTAACTACCATCGTCGTCTCCGCGAGTTCTTCTCTGCGTTTAGGCCGTAGAAAAAACAAACCCAAAATTCCCCAAAAATTGAAAAAGGAATTTCTCCTTTTATCATTCATTCTTCTCTCACTTTTCTCGTTCCCAAATTTTCTAAATTTTTTTGATAAGTGTAAGATCCTCTTCAAGAGGATCTCTCTGGCAGGTCATAGTCACACATTCGTACCGATCAAACCACTCAGATTGGTCCTGTAACGCGATCTTCTCGCGAATCGAAAACGATTCATTATAATCTGGTATGCTTTCAATTTTGGATATTTTTAGCTTTAAGCGGAGAAATTGATCGTCTAGGCGAGCAAATCGTCTCACTGATTAGATTTTGTTCTTTATGGTTTGTTAGTGAATAGACAAAGAGAAGATGGGTGCTCCGTTAGTATGCCACGGGCATTCTCGTCCCGTCGTCGATGTGGCTTATAGTCCGGTGACCCCTGATGGGTTCTTCCTTATCAGCGCCAGCAAAGGTATAATCTTTCATACGAACGATTCAGTCTCGATCGATTTGTATTTGAATATCTGACTATGACCTTTACACGGAACTGTGCCTATTTTGGATCATGCATTTATGATTTGCATTGCGAATGTGCTTTGAACAATTGATCTGGCTGCCTCTTTCTTTTAATTTATCGTCTGTTTTGATTATTTTGGCTGATCTAATGGAGAAATTAGGATGATGAGTTCCTACATTTTTGTAACTCTAGCTGCGTCGTCTTCTGACTTTTGGATATTCAGATTCGAATCCGATGCTGAGGAATGGGGAGACTGGTGACTGGATTGGGACTTTTGAAGGACATAAAGGAGCAGTTTGGAGTTGCAGCCTTGATAAGAATGCTCTGCGTGCTGCCTCAGCTTCTGCAGATTTCACTGCGTATGTTCTTCTTCTTGATGCTTTAAGCTTATAGTTATGGGAGGTTATGTTTCCAGAACAAATAGGTTAACTGATATTAATTCCCTGAGACTGATACTGAGACTGTGTCTTTGTAACTATAACACATTTCAGGAAATTATGGAATGCATTGACAGGAGATGAATTGCACTCCTTTGAACACAAGCACATTGTCCGTGCATGTGCCTTCTCAGAGGTATACTCAGTTTCTTTTCCAACAAATACTGTTTTGATCACATTGCCAAGTTTCCGATATACAATGGTGGGATGTAAGATTCAATGTTGGTGTAATTTGTGTTTCTACTGTGGTCTGATGCACAACTAATTACATTCTAGGACACTCACCTTTTACTCACTGGTGGCATGGAGAAAATTATTCGGATATTCGATTTGAATCGGCCAGACGCACCGCCAAAAGAAATTGGAAATTCCCCTGGTTCAATCAGAACTGTCGAATGGCTTCATAGTGATAAAACTATCTTAAGCTCTTGCACAGATACCGGTGACATTAGGTATGCAACCATATCATTCCTGAGTTTCGACTCAGTCCTTTAGTATTCCTGGTTTAATTGTCCTTTTGTCATATGCCCTCTGTAGGTTATGGGACATAAGAAGTGACAAGATTGTTCAAACATTAGAAACAAAGTTCCCAGTTACTAGTGCTGAAGTAAGTCAGGATGGGCGATATATAACTACAGCTGATGGATCTAGTGTTAAATTTTGGGATGCCAATAGGTAAGTTTCAGATGTATATAATGCAGCCTCTGTTACAGTTTTATTGTTTTTCTTTGCCCCCTTTATGCTAGAGCTTATCTCCTTCTATCCTAGTTTTGGATTGCTGAAGAGCTATGACATGCCTTGCAATGTTGAATCGGCATCCTTGGAACCAAAACTCGGCAACTCTTTCATTGCTGGAGGAGAAGATATGTGGGTGCATAGGTTTGATTTCCAGACTGGTGAAGAGATTGGTACGTTTCTAGAGTGATTAATGGGGATTCGTTAATAGGAATCTGTATGTATCTTTTAAAGTCAAAGCCGTGAATGCAGGGTGCAACAAGGGTCACCATGGGCCAGTGCACTGCGTGAGGTATGCGCCAGGAGGGGAGTCATACACGTCAGGCTCAGAAGATGGGACAGTAAGAATATGGGTGGTGGGTTCGGTGAACCATGAGGAGAGCAATCCGAGCGGTCACGTGAAGCTTGTAGCAGAGGAGGTTGTGCGTAAAGCTGAAAGCCTGCGTATCAATGAGAAAACGGGAGAAGAGAAATGAAAGCATCATTAGCTTCTTTTTTTGGTCGAATGAAAACATCATCTGCTGATCCCACATAGATTCGTAGTTGGTTTTGAATGACCTTAATATGTGTCTGAGGGTTTTGCCTTTTAAGAGTATGTAGAGGAAATAAAACGAACATAATCTTCAACTCTAATTGAGTGGATAGTGAATCTAATCGAAATTTTGACAAGAAATTTGTATCATTGTCAAAAAATAATTAAAAATTTAGTCTTTCAGATATGCAACTTGGTCAAATATCAGAAAAGGTTTGCAATTTTTCAAATTGGTTTCTTATTGAGCCCAAGTTGAAAGACATGCCAAAATACTGTATAAAGAAAACAAACAACAAAAGAAAGAAGGGAAATAAGACGCAGTTAAAAAACCCTAAACCCTTCATTTTTGCTCTTTGCTCTCCTGGTTTTGGCTTTTCGGTCGTGCTCAATTCGTCTGCTCTCCAGTTTCACTCTGTAATCATCTCTTCTTTTTCTGGTATCTAATCTTGGTGAAGGAAATGCTTGACATTTGGTCAAAATCCGACCTTGTAAAAATGGTTTTTCTTCTTCTTCCATTTCTGATTTTGTTTGGTCTGTGTGTTTTACAAAGCAGATCAGTGCCGTGCCGGTGAGAAGAAATGTTCGCTCTTTCCAAGGTTTTACGGAGGTTAGCTTCCTCGATTATATATAGTTATATTAATTTCTTCTTAGACCATTTGAGATCCTTCTTAAGTTACTATTTCATTTGTCTTCTCTTACCCGAAATACGATATACAAGTAGATGAAACAACGACTAGTCTTTAGACGCGCCATGAAATGCTCCTTGTCTGTTATGAGTGGTGGTATTCAGAGTTTATGGTAATTGAGCAGCTTTCTATTATTTCTAATTTTCAGAAGCCAAAGTCTCCGACTAGGAGCTTACAATGCTGTGTACTCTAATCTAGATATACCATCGGGAGAAAGGACCGGTGCTATTGTTACAAATGCTTTGATACATGATAAATCTGAAGGTTTTCCTAGATTTTACGAGCTCTCTTGGTCTTCCTGTACCGGAAGACGTTCACTTTCCTCAGATGCTCGTGCTAAAACTGCCGGAGAGGAAGATGAAGAAGAGCTCGAAAACGGAAATTCCGACCTTGCAACTCCTGACCAGACTAGTGGTGATAGTGAAGATGAGGGGGACACTGAAGGAGCAGAACTGGAACTACTCGTCCCTGGTTCTGAGGCTGGTAAATTAGTGGTAGGCAGCAGATCATCGGAGCTGTTTAAGGCCATTGTTTCTGTCTCAGGTGTGGCTGTAGCGAGTGCACTTGATAAATGGATTGAAGAAGGAAAGGAGATCAACCGCACAGAGTTAGCAAACGCGATGTTAGAACTCCGTAAACGTCGCATGTATGGGAGAGCATTGCAGGTACACATTACGTTTTGTTTCTACATTAGCTGAATATTAATGTCGATCAGTTTGTTCATAATCAAAGAAACTAGCTTGGTTCTCAGTTTGGTGTCTAGACTTTAGATTTTGTCTGCTTTAGGTTTTTTAAGTGTCTTCTTTCATTTCTGCGTTGTATTGTTGTTTGTATAGATGACAGAATGGTTGGACGAACATAAGCAGTTTGAATTGGAGGAGAGAGATTATGCTTCTCGGCTTGATCTGATATCCAAGGTACGAGGCCTGTACAAGGGAGAAGTTTATATTGAAAGAATCCCGGAATCTTTTAGAGGGGAATTGGTCTACCGTACCCTCCTGTCAAATTATGCAGCGACAAGCAATGTGAGGAAAACAGAAGAAGTTTTCAACAAAATGAGGGACTTGGGATTCCCTCTGTCAACATTTGCTTGTGATCAGATGCTTATTCTTTACAGGAGGGTCAACAAGAAGAAAATAGCGGATGTGCTATTGCTGATGGAGAAGGAAAATCTGAAACCGAGTCTTAACACATACAAAATCCTGATTGATATCAAAGGATTAATGAATGACATAACTGGGATGGAACAAATTTTGGAGACAATGAAAAGTGAAGGTGTCGAGCTTGACCTTCGTGCACAATCTATCATTGCAAGAAACTATGCATCAGCTGGGCTAAAAGAGAAGGCTGAGAAAGTGCTGAAAGAGATGGAAGGTGAAAGCTTGGAGGAAAATCGGCATGTGTGCAAGGATTTGCTTTCCATCTATGGCTTTCTCCAAAGGGCGGATGAGGTGACTAGAATTTGGAAGATCTGTGAAGAAAAACCTCGTTACAACGAGTCCCTTGCTGCAATCTTGGCTTTTGGAAAGATTGATAAAGTCAAAGAAGCGGAGGCGATTTTTGAGAAGATATTGAAGATGGGTCATAGAGTTTCTTCTAATGTTTACTCCGTTCTCTTGAAAGTTTATATTGATCACAAGATGGTCTCAGAGGGTAAGGATCTTGTTAAGCAGATGTCAGACAGTGGGTGCAGTATTGGGGCCTTAACGTGGGATGCAGTGATCAAGCTCTATGTGGAAGTCGGGGAAGTTGAAAAGGCTGAGTCTGCGCTTAGCAAGGCAACACAGTCGAAACAGATAAAACCGTTGATGAGCTCCTTCATGCATGTGATGGACGAGTATGTGAAAAGGGGTGATGTCCACAACACAGAGAAAATCTTCGAGAGGATGAAGCAAGCCGGTTATCAATCTCGCTTCAGGGCATACCAAGCCCTTATCCAAGCTTATGTCAATGCCAAAGCTCCAGCTTACGGAATGAATGATAGAATGAAAGCTGATAACATCTTCCCCAACAAAGGATTAGCTGCTCAGCTCGCTAAAGCCGATCCCTTCAAGAAGACTCCTCTCTCTGATCTCTTAGATTGAGTTGTGTTGCAGCTACAACACCATCCGCCTTCTGAATCTTTGGTTTGATTGATCAACCTCTTATCCATGTTGGTAGAAACTTCAGTAGCTTAATTTAAATAAAAACCTCCTGAGTCTAGAATTCCTGATATATAAATAGTAGTAAAATGATGTTTACGATCATCATTACTCGTTTGGAATGTAATATTTGGAAAGCAAAAAAAAACAAATGGAACAAAAAAAAAATTCTAGATGCACGAGAAGGGGATATTAACGGGCTTCGTATTGGGTTTAGCTGAGAAAGCCCATTTCGTATGTGTTTATAAAGGTGACTGGGCTTCACGTGCATTGTCTCCACTAGACCTGTAATGTTTTTGCGACTGACATTATCGCTGATATTGATGAGACGTGGAGCTTTATAAGACGCAATTCATAAAAAGTTAGCTCCCACTTGTTTTTTTTTGGATTCTTGTCTAATTGAAGGGGAAGGGTGAAGGGATCTTCGCAGTCCCAACAACACACCTCATTGTCATTGGAGCCATTTCCCAAGTTGGTACACGTAAATCAAAGCCCTCGTTTCCATCAATCAAAATAACTTATCGAGATTTGCTTCTTTTTTCCTTTTTAGATCTCTCATTGTTTCATGAGCTGAGTTTACTAGGACCAATCTTTGTTTATTGAGTTTACTAAACTGAATAGTAAAGATACTAAATACTCATTTAAAATCTGCGACTATCAAATGCTAAACAATACTAATACAGTAATACCCATCAATTTGTCTTAAGAGTTTTCTATTAATTAAAAAGTAGAGCATGATGCATGCTGCTAGTAGATATTATATACCTATCAAAGTCGTTGTCTGATGTCTCTAATGGAAAAATACACACCTTTTTCTCAATAAACAATACGATTCTAAGGGGCACTCATTGTTGTACACAAGTTGCAGATTTTTTCTATAAACATTGCATATCAAAGTACCCAATTCACGCATTTTAATCATCTTTAAGTAATTAATAATTCTTCTTCATTTGACGAAATATGTGAAGTTAGCACGTCATTACAAAAAAAAATCACAAAATTCCGACACGTCATCTAATTGACAAGGATTATAGCTTCGAACATTTAGACGGTAATTACTACTAATTAGAAACCCCGTTAGGGTTTTTTTTGGTCCGAGGTGCCAAAATCCGCCCATTTCAGAAATTATTTCACTCCCACTGTCTAAATAAACAACTCTCTTCTCCTCTTACCCAGAGAGTCACCTTATCGTCTCTCTATCTCCTCCTTCCTATATCCCCCTTGCTCTCTGGGTTTTAGCTCCAGTGTTCAAGAGAGAGAGATAGAGAGATGGAAGGTCTCATTCAAACCAGAGGAATTCTCTCTTTACCTGCTAAACCCATCGGAGCTAGGAGGATTCTCCAACCTTCTCTTGGCTTAAAGCAAAGACTTTTCACCACAAACTTACCTGCCTTGTCCTTATCCTCTAATGGGCACACCAAATTTCAAGCCTTTCAGTCAATCCCACTTGGGATTTCGGTTTCCCACAAGGAGAGAAGCAGAGGATTCATCTGCAAGGCGGAGGCTGCGGCGGCCGGTGACGGGAATGTGTTCGACGAAGGAGACACGGCGGCTATGGCGGTATCACCTAAGATTTTTGGTGTGGAGGTCACGACTCTGAAGAAGATTGTGCCTTTAGGGCTTATGTTCTTTTGCATCCTTTTCAATTACACAATCCTTAGGGACACCAAGGATGTTTTGGTGGTGACGGCGAAAGGAAGTTCTGCTGAAATTATACCCTTTTTGAAGACATGGGTGAATCTTCCTATGGCTATTGGGTTTATGCTGCTATACACCAAACTCTCCAATGTTCTCTCCAAAAAGGCTCTCTTTTACACTGTTATTGTTCCTTTCATTGTCTACTTTGGAGCCTTTGGCTTTGTGATGTACCCTCTCAGCAACTTGATTCATCCTGAGGCTCTGGCTGATAAGCTCCTTGCAACGCTCGGCCCCAGATTCATGGGTCCTCTCGCAATTATGCGGATTTGGAGTTTCTGTTTGTTCTATGTTATGGCTGAGCTTTGGGGTAGTGTTGTGGTCTCAGTTCTCTTCTGGGGATTTGCCAATCAGGTGAATACACTCCTCTTTTTTCTGATACTACTTGTCCTACATAGACTTATGGTAATAAGTTAGGCAGTCTTTGAAGATTTGGAACCCTTTTTGAGTCAAATATCTATGCTGTTTGTGAATTAACTTGCATGCAATCTTTTAATGGCAGATTACAACGGTTGACGAAGCCAAAAAGTTCTATCCTTTGTTTGGACTGGGGGCCAATGTTGCACTTATTTTCTCAGGAAGAACTGTGAAATATTTCTCTAATATGAGAAAGAATCTTGGCCCTGGAGTTGATGGCTGGGCTGTTTCATTAAAAGCTATGATGAGTATTGTCGTGGGGATGGGCCTCGCCATCTGTTTCCTCTACTGGTGGGTGAATAGATATGTGCCTCTCCCAACCCGTAGCAAGAAGAAGAAGGTAATTATGTGGCTGAACATACAAAATACTATGTTTTCTATGTAATTAAATGCGCCGCTTATGAGGTTTCTTCTGATTTGGACAGGTGAAACCACAAATGGGAACAATGGAGAGCTTGAAGTTCTTGGTGTCATCACCATACATTAGGGATCTTGCTACTTTGGTGGTTGCATATGGAATTAGTATCAATCTTGTCGAAGTCACATGGAAATCAAAGCTTAAAGCTCAGGTTAACAAAATCTTCATTGACAATGTATTGTTTACTACTACTACTACTACTACAACACTTTCATCTAAGAACCTTAAAAATCCTTTCTTTCAACGCAGTTCCCTAGCCCGAACGAGTACTCAGCATTTATGGGAGACTTCTCAACATGCACGGGTATTGCAACATTCACAATGATGCTTCTCAGCCAATATGTGTTCAAGAAGTATGGTTGGGGAGTAGCTGCAAAGATCACGCCAACTGTTCTGCTATTGACCGGCGTTGCCTTCTTCTCTCTGATACTGTTTGGTGGCCCATTCGCACCAGTGGTTGCCAAGCTTGGTATGACACCACTACTCGCAGCTGTGTACGTAGGTGCCCTCCAGAATATTTTCAGCAAGAGCGCCAAGTACAGCTTGTTCGATCCTTGCAAAGAAATGGCTTATATCCCATTGGACGAGGACACCAAGGTTTCTCACTTTTTCTCTTAAAGAAAGTAGTTGCATTCTTTTGATCTTGGGTTTTTACAGGTTGCGGTTTGTGCCATTGATTTGCAGGTTAAAGGCAAAGCTGCAATTGACGTAGTCTGCAATCCATTGGGGAAATCAGGCGGTGCCCTAATCCAGCAGTTCATGATCCTTACATTCGGCTCACTCGCCAACTCCACACCTTACCTTGGAATCATCCTGCTCGGTATAGTCACTGCATGGTTAGCTGCAGCTAAGTCGCTGGAGGGACAGTTCAACACTCTTATGTCTGAAGAAGAACTTGAGAAGGAATTGGAGAGAGCTTCATCAGTCAAGATTCCTGTCGTGTCTAAGGAGGATGCGCCACCAGGAGAATCCGCGAGCCAGCTATCGGAGAAATCTACTCCAACCAACATTTAGATGAGGACAGGATAAAACTTTGTTTGGGATTGGTTGTGTGACTGTTTTGACGTTTTGGTCGGAGTGAGATTTTGATAGTGTGAGAAGCCCTGAAATTAATCATTTAGTCATATGTTTTTTCGTTGTTGCTCTTCTCTTGATACCAACCAATACGAAAGTAATAAATGTTTCAAGTTCAATAATCTTTACTCTGTCCTCACTGTGTTGATTCAACCCAATATGTATATCACATTTAGATTAAAGTGACTCAACTCCAGTCATTTTAAAATTATACCTAAAAGATTCTAACCAATTTTGGTGAACAAACAGCTCACGATTACAAAATAATTGTGGGAGTAAATTAAGGCGAAAACGACGAAGTTTTGAAGTGAAAAGATCATCCGTTAATGAAGAAGAAGTTTTGTCGACTTTATCTTCTCGCCTTAAAACCCCAAATGTAAAACCTCTACGAGGTGTGACCATGTTCTTTGCTCTGTCTCTCCTACGATGGCGTCTTCTGCTCAAAGTCCTTACTTTTATCTCAATCCGGGCAAGTCCAACTCTTTCCAGAGCAAGGCTTTCAAGTACAGAAACGTTCATTTCTATTGGAATTTTGGAATTCGGAAACTTTTCTTGAGAAAATCTCAAGGACTATCTGTTCTTAGCTCGAGTTCTAGCAGTACCCACTTTTCGAATTCTCAATTACATGGGCTATGCGCCAACGGGAAGCTGGAGGAAGCTATGAAGCTTCTCAATTCTATGCTGGAGTTGCGGGTTCCTGTTGACGAAGATGTGTTTGTGGCTTTGGTCAGGCTGTGCGAGTGGAAGAGAGCGCAGGAGGAAGGTTCTAAGGTTTACTCCATTGCTCTCAATTCCATGAGCAGCCTGGGTGTTGTACTCGGTAACGCGTTTCTCGCTATGTTTGTGAGGTTTGGTAATTTGGTCGATGCCTGGTATGTTTTTGGTAAAATGTCTGAGAGAAACTTGTTTTCTTGGAATGTGTTGGTCGGTGGCTACGCAAAGCAAGGCTATCTTGACGAGGCGATGTGTTTGTATCATAGGATGTTGTGGGTTGGTGGTGTGAAACCTGACGTCTATACATTCCCCTGTGTATTGAGAACCTGTGGAGGTATACCTGATTTAGCTCGAGGAAGAGAGGTTCATGTTCATGTGGTTCGCTACGGATATGAATTGGATATTGATGTAGTGAATGCTTTGATTACTATGTATGTGAAGTGTGGTGATGTGAAGAGCGCGAGGTTGCTTTTTGATAGAATGCCTAGGAGAGATATAATCTCGTGGAACGCAATGATCTCGGGGTATTTTGAGAATGGGATGTGTTATGAAGGATTGGAGCTATTCTTTGCAATGCGTGGGCTTTCCGTTGATCCTGATTTGATGACCATGACAAGTGTTATCTCTGCTTGTGAGCTTCTTGGAGCTGGAAGATTAGGAAGGGATATTCATGCTTATGTGATAAGCACGGGTTTCGCTGTTGACATATCTGTCTGCAACTCTTTAACGCAGATGTACTTAAATGCTGGGTCATGGCGTGAAGCGGAAAAGCTGTTCAGCAGAATGGAGCGTAAAGACATTGTCTCATGGACCACTATGATTTCAGGCTATGAGTATAATTTTCTTCCCGAGAAGGCCATA